CTGGTTACATAGATCTTCTTGATAGCAACGTATTTCGGCCGCCGTCTTTGCTGTGCATATTCGCTTCTCTCCGCTAACGAATCCATATCTCTGCGTGCCTTCTTCAGTGGTGGTGATGACCATTGCGAATTCTCCTTCTCCTCAATATCCCACTCGTTCTGATAGTGCTCGTACATCAGATCCTCGGCTTTGTATACCGTAGAAAAGGTACCTATAACGCGTTAATATTTGTAGCGAGTATTTGTAGGAAGTATATTACCCTCTCCAATCCGGTTGATAAGTCGGAAGCGCTCTTTAAGACCTTTGAAAGTGTCCTGGAATTTGTCCATGTCTTCTTGTACCGTAGGGTCAACAACCCCGTCGCTTTCCTCGGAGGTTTCTGAGTACGCATCGTCTTGATCCTCGTGCTCCTCATCCATTTCCGCCCTCGAGTCTTCCATTCTATGGTCTTCCTCCATTGACTCGTCCACCATCTCGTCGTGGTGAATTTCGAAAGGTTTCACGCTTCTCGATCGGACCGTCGCCATCTTGCTACAATGCAGCTGATGATGCAGAGTACGCAAGAGCTGTGATCAAGCTTCCAATAACAGGAATTGAATATTCGGGAAGCCTGCAATTGGTTGTTTGTTTTCAGGTACAGCCGTTGCGGGCAGGGCAGGGTTCCTATCGATGGTGGTCGGTGGGGTTGGCAACAGCCAAACGCGCTTTTCCCGAAGGAGACGCGAAGAAAACAACGGAAACCGCGACTGTCAACAAACCCCCCAGTCAAGATCTTTGCGACAACCACAACAATTCGTCGATGTCCACACGGTTGCAGCAGAACACTGCGCATACATCGCCAACATGGAAGCAATAAACTTCGACATCAATGATGCTCTTAAACATTATATGAGCGATCCTGCGACCGTCGCAACCCCCGAAGCCGATTCGAATCTCGTTGACTGCGAGAACGACCCCGAAGCCCTCACCAACTCCTTGATCAACACAGTTCTTAATCCGATCGTGGACTCAGTCGCAGAAAATCCCGATGCGATTACCAGAAGCTCCTCTTTTGACTCCCTACAGTTTCTCTTAAAGTGCGCACCCATTTCTCTTCCCTCTTCCCAAAACTATATATCAGAACCCGATTCTGAACTTTTCAAACTCTCTAGATCCTCATCGGTTCTCCCTACACATGCGCTTTCGAAGATTCTCGATCTGATTGTCTCGGGCTTGTCAACCGAAGCCGACGTCATACACAATGATCTCGAGACCGACGAGCAGGAACTGATCTCCCACCATAAACAATTGCTGGAAGTTTTCGGCTTCTTGTTACAATGGACAATTGCAGCGGTCGAGACAAAGGCTGCGGAGAAATCTAGCTCGGCGCCAGCAGCTAGAGGGAGGGGAAAGGGTGCAAAGTCTAAGGCCGCTGCTGGAAAGGATAAGGATGGAAATTGGGACTCCAGTGCGCAGCTGCAAACTGCTCTGGATATCATGTGTAAGGTCCTGAAGTTGAAGCTCTCCAAGATCTTCTTGACGACTTCGGAACGGGATACCTTCATCGGTCTATTTACAAGGCCGGTATATATGGTTCTAGAGAGTGAACAGAGGGTCAAGAGTACCGCCATCCGGATGCACGCATTCAAGGTCCTTTGCATCGCAGTCAAGCACCACGGGCACGGTTATGGTAAGAAACCGCTTTCCAGCTTGTGGGATTCCAGCATTGACAGTTTCTAGCTGCCCAGATATCCATTGTCCAGAATCTGACTTACTTCGAGCATTTGGCAGAGCCTATGGCCGAGTTTCTTCATATTCTCTCGGAACAATACGACTACCCTCAACTGGCAGATGAGATTCTTCGCGAGCTGAGTAACAAGGAATTCAACAGCAATGATACGAAGGGCCCCAAGTCTGTTTCAACATTTATCGTCAAGCTTTCCGAGCTGGCTCCGAGACTGGTCATCAAGCAAATGACTATGTTAGCGAAACAGCTAGACAGCGAGTCTTATGCCCTTCGATGTGCTCTCATCGAAGTTTGTGGAAACTTGGTGGGCGACCTCAGCAAGCAAGAGGAGCGTGGTGACAATCATAAATCCCAGTTAAATGCTTTCTTCGATGTTTTGGAAGAGCGATTTCTTGACATCAACCCGTACTGTCGATGCCGAACCATCCAGGTATATATCAAGCTTTGCGACCTCGAGCAGAAATTTCCCAAAAGGAGACAAAAGGCCGCTGAACTGGCTGCAAGAAGTCTCGAAGACAAGAGCAGCAACGTCCGCCGGAATGCCATCAAGCTGCTCGGTACTCTGATTAAGACCCACCCCTTCAGCATCATGCACGGGTCACAACTCTCCCTTAAGGAATGGAATGCTCGTTTGGATGCTCTGGATGCCGAGCTGGACTCTCTGAAGCCACCAGCGGAGACTCCTGGGCTTGTTGACACCACAAAGGCCGATGTGACAGTTGATCAGGCACTCTTAGATGATGCTACTGTCATGCAGTCTGACTCGCCGCAGAAGCCCATGAGTGATGAGCAGAAAATTGCAGCTATGAAGAAAGCTCAGGAAGATGCTGCAACATCCGAAGCTATCAACAAGCTCACTCTAACGAGAAGATATTATGTCGAGGCTCTAAAATTCATCGAAGTCTTGCATGGAGCCACCACGACCATCTGCCAGCTCCTCGGATCCAAGAACAAGAGCGAAGTCATTGAAGCCATGGAGTATTTCGAGATCGGTGATGCATACAATATCGAGCAAAACAAGCTTGGTATTCGACGTATGTTGCGCCTGATCTGGACCAAGGGCAACAGCGATGAAGGAAAGGGGGTCCAAAACCACCTTATCGAATGCTACAAGCGGCTCTTCTTCGAAGCACCAGATTCCTATACCGCGAACGACGCTGCGAATTACATCGCCCGAAACATGATCAGTTTGACTTTTGGTGCAACTCCCGCTGAATTGACATCTTTGGAGCAGCTTCTCAGCACTATGATGAAAGCGAACCACATTTCGGAGCTTGTTGTTCAAAAGCTCTGGCAAGTTTATGGTGTGCAGAAGCGAGAAATCTCCAAGAGTCAGAGAAGAGGAGCTATCATCGTGCTTGGAATGCTAGCAACTGCGAAGCCCGAGATTGTTGTTGGAGAAATGGAAACCATGCTGAGAATAGGCCTGGGAGGTCTTGGCCGATCAGATCTACAATTGGCGAAGTACACCTGCATAGCTCTACGACGGATTAACCCAACAGGCCGGCAAGCTAAGGAGACTGCTGTGCAACCCTCAAAACTTCCCAACGGTCATGCTGTTCTCCTTAAGCTCAGTGCTATCGTCGAGATCGAATCTGACAACAAAGAGTGGTACGGCGTTGCTGAACAAGCCATCAATGCCATTTACACCCTGTCAAAGCATCCTGATACACTCTGTTCGGAGATCTTGAGGAGGAAAACGAAGTATGTATTTCAGAAGCGTACTGCGAAGACACCCGAGTCCGAGGAGCCAGCTGGCGAAGATACTCAAATGGTATCACCTCCACCTGAAGAGCCCGCTGAAACAGAGCCCAAGCTCAAGGGATCTGTCGCACTTTCACAACTTCTATTCATCGTTGGCCACGTTGCAATCAAGCAGATTGTCCATCTTGAGCTTTGCGAATTAGACTTCAAGCGGAGGAAAGCCGAAGCTGAGAAGAATAAGCCGACCTCTGAGGCGCCGGCGGACAAAGCTGCTAAGGAAGCTGCTGATGATCTCGATATGATTGGTGGTACTACGGAAGACGACTTCACTGAAGCCATGTCACATATCCGTGAGCGAGAGCTTCTTTACGGCGAGAACTCGCTTCTTGCTAACTTCGGCCCACTCGTGTCGGAGATCTGCTCGAATAACACCACCTACAAGGACCGCAATCTCCAAGCAGCCGCCACCCTGTGCTTGGCCAAGCTCATGTGTGTGAGCTCGGAGTACTGCGAAACCAATCTCCCACTTCTCATCACCATCCTTGAGCGTTCGAAGGATCCTATCACTCGATCCAATGTTGTCATTGCTCTTGGTGACATGGCGGTCTGCTTCAACCACCTCATCGACGAGAACACTGACTTCCTTTACCGTCGACTGAACGATAAGGATGCTAGTGTTAAGCGTACATGCTTGATGACACTCACTTTCCTGATCCTGGCAGGTCAGGTCAAGGTCAAGGGTCAACTAGGAGAGATGGCTAAATGCCTTGAGGACGATGACAAGAGAATCGCAGATCTCAGTCGTATGTTCTTCACCGAGTTGAGCACTAAGGACAATGCAGTGTACAACCACTTTGTCGACATGTTTAGCTTGTTGAGTGCTGAGAAGGATTTGGAAGAGGATGCTCTGAAGAGGATCATCAAGTTCCTTGCTGGATTCATTGAGAAGGTATGTCGTTTAACTCCCGCCTACGTTATATATTTTACTGACCTCGAAACAGGACAAGCACGCCAAGCAACTTTCAGACAAGCTTGCTGCTAGACTTGCGAGATGCGAGACGGAGAGACAGTGGAATGATGTTGCTTATGCTTTGAGTTTGCTCCAGCATAAGAATGAGGAGATCACGAAGTTGGTCATTGGTGGCTTCAGAGTTATTCAAGCTAGTGCTTGAGGATCTGGAACTTTTGGCGGGCTGTATGATGAATGATGTAATGAGCATATATGGTGGGAGGCTCGGCTGGGCTGGGTTTGATCGGGTGGTGTCGGGGCGTGTTGGCGTTCTAGTCCTTCGCATTCTCAAGTTGTTTGTTCTTTGATGCGAGCAGTGTATGGTCGTCGCGTAATGAATACCAAAGACTCTTCACAGAGAAACTCAGGAAACCTGAAAATTGTCTACAGGTATTTTCAGTAATTTCAATGCGATCACACCACCTTACTCCGGACCGTGTGACAGAGGGGTAAAAGTGGGAAACTTCTTCAAGAGTACTAGGCCCAAGTGGCCCCTTCGCTAAAAAGATAACAAAATAGCAAAAAGTAAATAAGGATCAGTTCCATAGTGCGATAGTGTGATAGTGAGTATGAGGATCGAACTCATGATTTTCTCTGCTCTCCTACTCTACGTACCAAAGAGAATTGTGAGAGAGACGCCTTACCACTAGGCCAACCCACTTGATTTGTCTGCTAGATGTTGTGATTTGTTTATTTGGGTAGATGGATGGGTTAGTAGTTTCGTGATAAAGGATGTTAGGACAAAGGATTTTGAGGGAAAGAATGAGATGGGTGAAAAGAGGTGGGTGGATAAACGAGGGAGAGGGGGCGAAATCAGTAAGTTACAGGAGCAAATTGCTAACTAAGGTCGTGTATTTAAATTGAAGTCCTGGGATGAAATGTTGATTTCTGAATAAATTCTCTACGTTCCTTCATGCCCATGGTGTTGAGTAAATGGGGCTGAACTTCGCAGATCTGTTTATGCCCAACTTCAGGCTCGCTTAGCCCGTAGAGCTCTGAAGTACTACTATTCAACACCTGCCAACCTAAATTCAAATTCTTCCACGCAGTTATGGTTGTTCATTCTACTAACTGGCATCTTGTGATATTATTCAGAGGTTATGTGGGAGTTTCCGCTAAAGAGCAGTGCTGTGCCTCACTCAAGCAGCCAATTGAATCTATCGACCTCTGGGACCAACTAAATCCTCTTTGGCAGGTGCTTTGCAGACTTTAGTTTGGCGCGAGATAAGAGAATAGCATCAATGTTGGTTCCCTTCAAAGTAGTAGCATAAGAGGGGCAATTGCGGACACTAACAACTCTCAGACCAACTGAGCCGACTGGACTTCTCTTAACACCTCGTATGCGAGAGAGGGGTGCACAATCTTTTGACTGCCTTGTAATCCAGCCCGTAACCCAAACATCAGTTGGTTGGCCAAAATGGATACGACTAACAGCATTGTATCCCAAGGAAACTGCCATTGTGGTAGCTGCAGATTCGAGCTTCACTTGACGGAGCCGATTGAGGCAGTCAAGTGTGATTGTCTGCTCTGTAGAAAGCAGGGATAGGCAATTCATACTTCAGGCTTCCATCATCGTGAGCCGTGACGATGGGCACATGGTTCAATACAACTCAACGAGTCACAACACCAGGTCGGTCTTTCCCGGCTCAATCTTCTACGCCTTGCTCATATTCCGAAGTTTTGCTCGATATGTGGCGGTAGTGTTCTTGGGGAACACCTACAGGGCCCGCTACAGGGACAGAAACTTGTCAATCTGATGATGTTGAGGGGGGTCGATTTGTTCAAGATTGAGTGAGTGTTTTCATAGTTGCTTATCATATCTTCAATTGACGACTAGAAAGATCTAGGGCGAAAACTCATCATATGTCGACCAGCTCTAGTCAATCAAGATCAACTGCTTGCGGCGCTTGTCATCGCGGACAAGTGAAAGTGAAAATCTCGGCACCGTTGCTTGATTTGAAGCTCAAAGAAGACAATTGCAGTATTTGTACAAGAGTAAGTGGGAATGCTATCTTCCATAATTTTGGTAAGATATAAACAGATCTAACAACATCGCAGAATGCATGGGCAGGAGTTCATGCAAGTACTGCCCAGGTCAAGCTGGTTGGCACAGAGAACGTGACAGAATATCAGTTCGGACGCAAATTCATGGGTCATCCTTTCTGCACAACCTGTGGAGTGCATTTATAGATGAATGTGTACGGGCCGCCAAAATCTGTCGTTGATAGACTGCCAGAGGAGAGGAAAGAGATGATCAGGAAGAATTTGGACTTGAAGCCAGTCAATATTCGGGTCTTGGAGGGAGTGGAGTTGGAACATCTCAACATCGAGAGATCATATGAGGGGACAGATGGGTATGAGAGATATATACTGGGGCTATCATAAGTTGATCCTCATATCAGATTGCTCATGAGTGCTGTTGTAGCCCGAGATCGAAGCACCTCCTCAGCCCACGATGTCAATTTGCATCATGTGCATGAATCGACCGACATCAACACTTCACTAAAATCCAGCGTTTCTGAGTCACAAAATACTTAAATACTACACAAGAAGACGCATGATAACCAAAAGAATGTAGTGAGCAGTTTCGAAGGCAGGACAAGGGGAAAAGGAGTTCTGACTCAGGCGTGACAAGACGTGCAAAATGAGTGAAAATCATGATAGTGACCACCAAACGAAAACAATACAAAGGAAAGAGGCAAGCAAATCAGCCGTAAGCTCGCTCCGGAAATTTCCAGACACTTTAAGCAGGCGGCAAAGCAGCAACACCAGGACTCCACCCAGCTCCGTCCCAGACCCACTCGCTAACAGCCGTAACATTTTCTCCCTTCTGGAAGTAGATTCGAATCTGGATCTCGCCACCATTCTGCCAGGAAATGGCCGAGATTTTGGAACCAGGAATAGTCGGCTCTTCGAACCCGCCATCATACCAGCCATCGCCATCGTACCCCTTCTCCAAGATACTGTTGTGTGGTGAAGAGTAATAGAGACGAAGACTGATACCGGACTTGGTATCGTTGAACTTGGTGCAAGCAATAGAGGCGCGAGGTGTAGTGGAGGACCCGGGAATGGACAGGGAGCCGGTGTACCACGTTGACTGGGCATCGTGGCAGAGCTCAGTGATTGAGCGGTCGGGCTTTTGGAAGTAAAGCCTGTAGATTGTAAACATACTTGTTCCGAGACAAAATGCTGATGATAATCTTACCTGATGCTTAGTCCTGAAGATCCCTTATAGGACGTGACGGCGATGCTGGTGCCAGGAAGCGCAGGTCCCAGATTGACAAATTTCTGCCAACCACTACTAGCATCTATGCATGATATCTAATCAGCGTCGCGTTCGATTTGACATTTGGAAATGGTGGATCAAGAAGTGAACGAGAAGGGGAGACTTACTATCCCATCCGAACTCTTGGATCGTGTTGTCAGCGATCTGGGCATAGATACGAATGGTTAGATCTTTGTTCGGCAACAAAGCAGTGGCAGCAACCTGAGAATATGGAGCCAGGGTGATATTAGAGTTGTTAAGAACTCCATCATACCATCCAACGTTGGAGTCGTAAGCAAATTCGCGAAGCTTGTTGTCTGAAGAGAGGAAGTAAAGGCGGATCTGCACCAGTAAGAAGGAAGATCTAAGCTCCATACTAGGAGAGACGTACAAAATGGGAAGTCTCAATTGCGAAAAAAGGATAGACGTACATTTTCGAGCCCCTTGAATGCGGCTGCGATGGGAGAATTGCGCTTTCCCTTGGAGAGGACAGTGACCCCTCCACTCCATCCAGCTTCATAGCTGCTCTCACGGATACCACCTTGAACATCTATGACTTCAAGTCAGAAGCTTTTTAATTAAGGCAGCAACATTGTGCTCATTCTCCAACGATAAACGACTACGCAGAAGCCCAGTGAAAAAAGAGAGAGGGCACTGACCTTGGGAGTAAACGCGAAGATGGTCCGTTGAGTTCGCAGCAGCAATCGCTGTGCCTGATGAATATAGTAAGCATCTTCCAAAGTCAGCTTGAGGGGGTTCATGGTGACTCACGGAATGCAATTTGTTCGACTGGCCTGGAAGTCATGACTACTGATTGTTGAAGAGATCAAGCTTCTTGATGATGGGAACAGTGTGTGGATCTGTCGAAATGTTTGAAGTGATATGAAGCTGATCTGAGCCGTCTTTGGATGATATTGATATGCTTTGAGGGGGCAGCCCCCCGACTTTATAGATGAAGCTCCTGCCTAGTTTTTACACCTTATACAGAAATATCAACCAGCTGCCAGTAGATGGCAGCTAAAATTGGTAAATTCGGTGCATATCACAGATGGGTCTTCATTAAGGCGGAAGGCGTCCTAGATGGAAGCTGGAAAAGAACAATTAATGCTTCATTGCTTTCTCGACCATGAGATTGGACCACGACACTTCGCAATGCTAGCTTACCCAGCTTCGATATGCATGACATTACTTTTTCCGTATTGAACGGAAAGGAATGAAGAAATCCAAGGAAGCTGGATGGCCTTTGTTGTGCAGTCATGAAGCTACCACAGGCATGAACTCGTCTCATCGTGAGCTCCCCAAAACTGGCTGGGCAAGCTTCATTGATACCCCACCTAGAGCCTCAATGTCTTGTGCTACCTGAACTCGCACTCATGCTTACACAAAAGTCTTCAGTGGTGTCGATCACTCCTCGATATAGCCGTAATGTGTGTGCCCAGACCGTGTTATCAATGGGACAGTAAGCAAGCTCAGCTCTCACGAGATTTCTTCGGATTGGAAAGGCGGGGAAGTGGATGGACGTCTGACATGCAGCACACTATTGCGACGTTGTGAAATGTTACGGTAGCATCGAATGGGGAAGCAGTTTCATGAGTGTTGCTCAGCTCTTGAAGGGCGCCACTTTGTGTAACAACTGGAGAGGGACCGATCCACCAAGGCGTGTGCAGAGCGTGACGTACAGCGCAAGATGGATATACGAGAGAAAAGGAACACAGTCTTGCCATGGCCATGGCGTTTTGATTTTCTGCTATTGATAGGTAAAGGAGTGTGATAAGAAATGGTAAAGCAAAGCATCAGCTCCCCACAGGACCCTCAAGCTGACCCTTCCCTCCTCTCATGTCGGACTGGCAAGTCAGATCCGCTCAAAGGCCTTACTGATTCGCAGGTGGCAGAGCTGGCTGGTGTCCAATGTTCCACGCACCAAGCCCTCCTTGCCATTTCCACTCGGTGATTCCAGTCACCTGAACGCCAGCTTGGAAGTAGACGCGGATCTCAGGCGCCTTGGTGCTGCTGGCGTACCAGGATAGAGAGCCAACCTGGGAGCCTGGAATGGAGGCTTGCTTGAAAGCTCCATCATACCAAGACCCATCATTTGCTTTCTCGAGGATGGTATCATTCGGACCAGTGTAATAGACACGGATGCCGGTTCCTGTGCTGCCGGGCACAGTCCAGACTGTTGCGGAGATGGCAGCACGGGGGCTGGCTGACTTGACGGAGAACTCGCCTTTCTGCCAAGTACTGCCGTCATCGTGGGCTTTCTCGATCAAGTCGAGATTCGGAGCCTGGTAGTAGAGACTTTGGCTTTAGTTAGCAACTGGACTTTCGACCGGATTGGAGGAAAGTACCGAATGCTGGTTGCAAGTCCCTTGTAGGCAATGACTGAAATGCTGCTTCCT